TGAAGGAGCTTCATTTGTCTTTGGAGCCCCTTAGTGCCTGTCAGATACTGTGTGTGTGTGTGTGTGTGTGTGTGTGTGTGTGTGTGTGTCTTTGAGGTCCTCTCAGTTTGCAGACCTGCCCTGCCCTGATGCAGGAAGTTTATGTTTATGAGGAACTTGTCCTTGAGATGCTTAGTGGTTGCTTCTGTCATGCTGAAGCTTTATCCCCCAAAGATAAGACTTCATTACCAAGTAAATTCATGCCAAAGCACTTGAGAAAGAGCCTTAGACTCAAGCACAAATTATAATTGGCTTATATATGTTGGTACCAATGCTTCCAATAGGGCAAACAAAATCCATTAGAAATGAATGAACTCAAATATGTGAAATAGCATACTCACCCATAGCTTTTATTTTCATTTGTAATTATTTGCTTTTTTGAGATTATAATATAATTACATCATTTACCCCCTCCATATCCTCCTATATAATCATCCTTGCCCTCTGTTGCTTGATGGGGGAAGTGCTTCTATGTATGTGTTTATCTTATTGGATGATAAATAAAGTACTGTTTGGCCAATGAGGCAGCAAGTTGGACAGGACTAGGAGTCAAGGAGGATTCTGGGAAATGTAGTAAAGAAGTGGTGATCCACAGGAAGTGACATAATAGGGAGACTCATATATAAACAAGGGCAAGAAGGAAGTGGGCCCCTTCTCTCTTCCTCCAGAGTCACCATGTGATCCTGGGATGAGGACGCCAATGGCAGGCATCCTAAATAAGATAAGTCTTATAAAATATATAGACTTATGATAATTAAGACTGAGCTAACAGATGAGAAATCTTAGTCATTGGCCAAGCAGCATTTGAACCTAATATAAGTCTCTGTGTATTATTTGGGGCCCTAACTGGGTGGGCAGAACTCGGGCAGCTGGCGGAAAGTGCCTACGTGGCAGTAGGGCTCAGGTGGCTTTTGGTGGAAAGATTTATTGTAACAGTTGCTGGCAGTTTTTCTTGTCCCGCCAGGTCCCACCACTTCAGCCCCAAATAAACACACGGATGCTATATTAATTATTAGACTGTTGGCCAATGGCTAGGGCCTCTTATTGGCTAGCTCTGCCTTAATTATGAACCCATTTCTATTAATCTAAGTATTTCCATGTGGTCTTATCTTACCAGAGAACACCTGTCGCGTCCTATCTTCCTGGTCTCACATGGCATCTCTTTCCTGTCTTCTCTGCCTACCTTTTCCAGAATTCTCCTCATCTCCTAACCCTGCCTATCTTCCTGCCTCTATCAGTCAAACAGTGTTTTATTCATCAAAAAAAAACAGTAAGAGAAACATAAATACAGAAGGACATCTCCCATCAGCTCTCTTTCAAATTCTTGGTTTCTGTTTTAGTTAATTGCTGTTACATGCATATAAAAACATATATGCATATGTATATATGTAAGTATCCTAAGTTTAACCTGTTCCATCTGTATAATGTTACTTTATGTATGTTTTCAGGGCTGACCACTTGGTATTGGATAACTGGCTGGTGGGCTCTCCCTGGAGAAGATTATTTCTCCCATTATCCACATTTCTTAGTCACCTGTAGTTCTTTGTGCAGGGGTGAGGCCTCTTGGGCTTTCCTGGTCCACTTCAGCATGCCTATTGTTGTGCTCAGCTCATGTTTAGACTGACATGTTAGTGAGAATTTATGGATGTAGGGACTGCCATTAATAGGAGATACAGTCTCACACAGTCTCACAGCAAACTCCCTGATCTCTAACTCTTAACCTTTCCTCTCTCTTGTCCACAACATTTCCTGAGTCTTAGTGAGGATGTGTTTTGTAGAAGCATCCATTGGGACTGGGCTCTATAATTCTGCATTTTGATTGATTATAGTTTTCTATAGTTGTTTCTGTCTGTTGCAACGAGAAGTTTCTTTGATGAGTGGTCAGGACCAAATTTATCTGTAGGCATAGACAATGTTTCGAAAGTAGTTAGGGATTATGCTGGTTTAGTAAACTGGTGAATTTAGGATCTCCTCTAAGATCCATGACTTCACTCTCCCTGGGTAGTTGGCGAGGTTTCTGGTGCCAGGTATGGTTTCCCTCTTGTTGAGCTGGTATTAAGTCCAATTAGAGAGCTGTTGGTTACTGCCATGTTTGCATGCCACGACTGCACCCTTAAGGTTACAGTGTCATGCCGGTTCTTGTGGTTCATAGATGCCATAGCTGGGTGGAATTGTTGGTGGTTTCCCTCCTTTGGAAGCTTGCATGGCATCTTCTGATATCATGAATGCTATCCCTCATGGAGGAGGCTTTCAGGAAAGTTCCAGCTGAGGGACCTCTGGGCCCTGTATCTGAGTCATGGTGTCTTTAGCATTAGGAACTTACCTCCCACCTCTGGAAGGCACCTGAAGGCAATAGCAATAGTCTGTGATGTTCTGAGTCTCTTGGACAAGCCTGACCCACATCTCAGAAAGGGACTTCTCATACCTGGTGCTGGGCCTTTTTGTTAAGTGGTGTTTGGATCCTAGAGGGAATATTGTCAGCCTAAAGGAGAAAATTTCATTTAAACTATATATGAATATTTACATATGGACTTTTGTGTATTACAAGTTTTTTTTTTAGGTAGATAGTTAATAGTATAATTCCTTATGACTTTGGCAGAAATCCTCAGTATTATTTTACACTCTTCCCTCATTTTGTATTTATATTTCTCCCCTCCCTAATTAGAGCTCCCTTCTCTTCCTTTCCTCCATCAGGTTACTTGTACCCCACTATCTCCCTCTCTATTGCCCCCGACTCTTCTACGCTGGCAATGGATCCTTTGTACTTTTCCAGTTTCTGCAGTTACTCCAGGGTATGTGCTGGCATCTGAAGGCTTTAAGCTAGGAGCCTCTGATGAGAGCATGGGACCTTTGCCTTTCTGGGTCTGGATTACCTCACTCAGAACAGTCCTTTCTAGCTCCATTTACCTGAGAAGCTCATCTTTCTTTATGTTCCATGGTGGCTATGTACTACATTTTAGCTGTCACTCACCAGCGGGGGGACATTTAGGTTGTTTTCATTTCCTAGCTATTGTGAATAGAGAAGCAATGAGCATGGCTGAGCAAGTAGCTGTGGAGTAGGCTGTCCAGTCCCATGGGTGTATGTCAGGAGTGATATAGCTGGGTCATATGATAGGCTTATTTTTAACTTTCTGAAAATCTCCACACTGATTTCCACGTGGCTACAGCAGTTTGCACTCCCAGCAACAGTGAATGAGGGTTCCCTTCCCCTCACGTCTCCTCCAGCATTTGTGGCCACTTGAATGCAAGGAGCTCCTTGATCTTTGCCATTCTAGATGGTGTAAGATAAAACCTCAAAGGTGTTTTGATTTGAATTTCCCCAATTGCTAGAAAATGATGAACATTTTTTGAGATATTTCTTAATCATTTCCTTTCTTCCTGTGAGAACTCTCTGTTCAGGTCTGAAGGCCATTTTCTGAATGGGCCATTTGTTTTGTTTATTTTTTTATTCTTTTATTTTTGAGTTTTATTTTTATATTCTGGATTTATTTTTATACCCTGTCAGATGAATAGCTGGTAAAGATGCTCTCCTGTTCTGTGGGTTTCTTTTTTCCCTTGTTGACTCTTTCTTTAGCTGTGCAGAAGCATTTCAGTTTCATGAAGTCACACTTGTCAATTGTTGGCCTCCATTCTTGGGCAATGAAGTCCTATTCAGAATGTCCTTTGTAGGGTACTGCCAAGGTTTCCCTCTAGAAGTTTCAGTGTTTCAAATTTCATATTTAGGCTTTTAATCCATTTGTTCATCTTATTCAGGTTTATTTTGGCTATCTGGGGTCTTTTGTGGTTCCATGTAAATTTTAGGATAGCTTTTTTTAAATATTCCTGTGAAGAATGAAATGGGGATTTAAACTGGAATTGCATTGCATTATAAATATCTTTTGGTAAAATTGTCATTTTTACAATGATAATTCTACCAGTCCATTAGCATGGGACATAATTCTATTTTCTAGTGTCTTTATCTCTTTAAAAGTTTCAAGTTTCCATTGCAGAGGCTTTTCATTTCCTGGGTTGGATATATTCCTAGATGTTTTATTTTCTTTGAAGCCATTGTGAATGGGAGTATGTCCATGATCTCCTTCTCTGTGTGCTTGTTGTCAGTGTACCGAAAAGCTATTGACTTGTACAAGTTAATTCTATATCTTGCCACATTGCTTAATTTGTTTATCATTTCTAGACATTTTCTGGTAGAATTTTTGGGATCTCCAATGTCTAGTATCATATCATCTGCAAATAGGGATAGTCTGACTTCTTTCCCTATTTATATCCCTTTAATTTCCTTGTCTTGCCTTATTGTTCCAGCGAGTACATAGAGCACATTGAAAAGGAGTAGGGGTAGTAGACACCCTGTCTCATTCCTGACTTCAGTGAGATTGTGTCAAGCTTTTCCCCATTTAGGTTAATGTTGGTTGTGGGATTCTCATACATAGTTTTTAAGATGTTAGGGCATGTTCCCTCTAGTCCTATATGCTCTAGGACTTTTACCATGAAGGACTGTTGCATTTTTGTCAAAGGCTTTTACTGTGTTTATTGAGATGATCATGTGACCCAAATTTGGACTATGTCTTTCTTTCTTTTGATTAGTTGGGATAAGGGTCTGCCAATCTTGTAAATCTTCCCCAAGAGCTGGCTCTTGGGGAACCACCATTCATTCCTCCTTTCTCTTCAGAAAAGTGCAGGCCTCCCATGTTTATCAGCCAGTCATGGCATATCAAGCTGCAGTAAGACTAGGCACCTCTTCTCCTATTAAGACTGGATGAGGTGGCAGGGTGGTGGTGGCGCACGCCTTTAATCCCAGAACTCAGGAGGCAGAGGCAGGCAGATCTCTGTGAGTTCCAGGCCAGCCTGGTCTACAAAGCCACACAGAGAAAATATGTTTCAGAAAAAAAGAAAGAAAGAAAAAAAGAAAGAGAGAGAGAGAGAGAGAGAGAGAGAGAGAGAGAGAGAGAGAAGGAAAAGACTGGATGAGGTACCCAGAAGGAGGAAAAGGTCCCAAGAGCAGGTAACAGAGTCAGAGACAGCCCTTACTCCCACTGTTAGGAATCCCACAAGAAGACCAAGCTACACGACTGTAACATATGTGCAGAGGGTATAGGTCAGTTACATACCAGTCCTCTGGTTAGCAGTGCAGTCTCTGTGGGCCACTATGACCCAAGATTAGTTGATTCTATGGGTTTTCTTGCTGTTTCCTTGGTCCCTCTGGCTCCCACAATCCTTCCTCCTCTTCTGCAGGGTTCCCTGAGGTTTGTCTAATGTCCGGCTGTGGGTGTCTGCATCTGTTTCCATCAATTTAAGGCCAGGAATTTAAAAATTTCTTTCTTGATTTCTCTTATTGGCCTGTTCATCGTTCAGCAATGAGTTGTTTAATCACTGAGTTTGTGTATTTACTAGAGATTTGTTGACTGTCATTTTTTTTGTGTGTGTGTGTTTTGTGTTCAGGTAGGATACACTGGGTTATATCAATCTCTTTGAATTTGTAAAGATTTGTCTTGTGTTCCAGAATGTGGTCTATTTTAGAACGTTTCCACATGCTGCTGAGTACAATGTGTATTCTTTGCTATTTGGGTGAAATAGTGTTGATATCTGTTAATCCATTTGATGTATGATGTCAATTAATTACCATGTTTCGCTGTTCATTTTTTGTTCAGATGACCCGTCTATTGGGGAAAGTAGGGTATTGAAACCATCTACTGTTAACAAATTCATGTTCAATCCAACTGATACTAAATCTAGTAATACATTTTATTTTTTATGAAATTGGATGCAAAAGAGCTTGGGGCATAAATGTTTAAGATAGCAATGTCTTCTTGGTTAACTGTTCCCTTGATTAGAATGACATGCCCCTCCTTATCGCTTTTTCTTAGTTTCAGTTTAAAGTCTATTTTTTTTTTTTTTTTTTTTTTTTAGATATTAGGATAGTGGTACCTACTTGCCTCCTGGTCCCATTTGACTGGAGTACTTTTGTCCATCCTTTTCTCTAAGGCAGTACCTATCTTTCAAGCCAAGATGTGTTTCTTGTAGACAACAGTTTTTGTTTCTTAATCCATTAAGTCAGTGTGTGTCTTTTGCTTAGCGGTTGAGAACAGAGCTAGCCTGGTATAAATGATATGTATCTCCTGGTACACACTTAGAGTTCGAGGATAGATTTAGCCGACTGGAAAGGTTGGATGTGGCATGGAAGGGCTCTGTGGGTTGGGGGTTAGGTAGGGAGGATACTGATAAAAGCCTGGAGATTGGCTGTAGTACAGGCAGGGGAGACCAGACAAGGCTGAGATAGCGGCTGTGAGACCTGGACTATATCTGGAAAGTTGGGAAACGTGCATGGCAGGGAGGGTCAGAGAGTCTCAATGGGCTAGATCATGAGCAAGGATGTCTTCAGCTCTTTTTGTAACTACTCAATTTTATTTATTATTATGGCATCTATGTGTGTGAGTGCAGGCGGGCTTATGCTGTGGGGTACAATGGAGTTCAGAAGACAACTTTCAGGATTCGGTTCTTTCTCTCCACTTGCGGTCCTGGGGACATCAAACTCAGGGTGTCAGGCTTACTAAGAATGCCCTTCTACCCCCTCAACTATCTCCTAGGCACCACTAGCTCTTCTGAAAGACTTATAGGCTTGGAGTCTATAGAACTTATAGTTCTGTAATGGAGGAACACATTACCTCATTCTTAAAAATTCCCTGCATTTATGTCTGTGATGGTGTTGTCAACTTAACAGGATCTAGAATCACTTAGGGGCTCTGGGCATAAAGGGTTAATTGGGGTGGAGGACGCACCCACTGTGGGCAGCACTATTCCCTGGGCTGGGAATTTGGGGCTAGATATGAAGGAGAAGGCAAGCTGAGCACCAGCTTTCATCATTCTCTGCCTCCTGATTGTGACTGCCAGATGACTGGCTCCGGAGGGCTGCTGTGACTTCTCAGTCATGATGGGCGGTACCTCTAACTGTGAGCCCAAATAATGCCTTTCTTTCTAACTCTGCTTCTGCCCAGGTATTTTATCACAGCAACGGGAAAGTCATGAAGATGCCGTCTGAAATTTTGTGATTAAACACTGAAGCCACAAGAAAGGACACGAATGACCAGGTGAGAATTTACATGCTCATCACCCATCGTCTTCCCATGGAGTGCTCGGCTGCAGACGAGACATCATCACCCATCGTCTTCCCGTGGAGTGCTCGGCTGCAGACGAGACATCATCACCCATCGTCTTCCCATGGAGTGCTCAGCTGCAGATGAGACGTTATAGCACACCCTCTCCACACAGGGCTGAGAGAACGTTTTAGAAAAGGGGGTGGAAAGACTCTAAGAGTCAGGGGCTGGGGAGGACTAGAAAAAACAGCCCTCCTGGTGGTGACAGGGGACTGTACTCATGAACTCACAGCAGCATGCTTGCCTGAACAAGACCTGCCCAAGGTCAAGCCAGTTACCACCAGTCCAGCACAGATGCCTGAAGGTCACACAAGGCCCCGCCCCCATCTGAGGAGCTGTGGACGGTGGCTGCTGGAGGAGGGAGAGACCGTTTTCTTGGCTGACCATGCTCCAGCAGATGACCCTGGACTCATGCTTCTATGGTCATCATTCATCGGACTCAGTAGGTTATTAAGGGGAAAAAGATGAAATTGAAAGAAAAACACGGGGAGGAGAATCTGGTTGGAGCTGGAGGGGGTAGTGGTGGCTGGATCAAAATTCATTGTGTATTTCAGTGGTTCTCAACCTTCCCAATGCTGTGACCCTTTAAAACAGTTCTTCATGCTGTGGTGACCCCCCCCAAAAGGATACAGACTAACGAAGTCAGTCAAGGCTGGCAGGTGGAAGCCTTCTCCATGACATCTTCTTAGGCGAGAGCAGGCAATGTGTTTTCCAGGACAACAACAGGAAGAAGCCAATGTATCTGGAGCACTTAGGTTCTGAGGATTTCACCATCCAGCAATTCTTTTAGCTGTGGTTGTGAGCCATTTCCCAGCTGAGCAAACCGAGGCCCAGCTTCAATGTCATTTGCTCTCACAGGGAGGACCATCACCACTACCACCATTACCACCGTAATCACCATCATCCCTGTGATCATCGTCACTACTGTAGTCGTCACCACAGTAGCCATCATCATCACCGCCACCATCACCATCACCACTGTAATCGCCATCATCACTGTAACCATCACCACCACCCTCTATCTAGCTCTGTCTTTCACACTCGGCAGTCACATGCCAAGCTGGAGGGCCCGCACATGCTTTTCTACACCTTTCACGATTCTCTGTGAGTAGAGGCAAACAGTCAGCTACAATGTTTTATAAAACCAGTCTGTTTTGAAAGCTGCACTCATCCTGTGTAGGTCTCCCTGCAGACTGCTATGCACACGGCCTGCAGGCTTTTGCAGTCAGAAGTGTTGCAATAGGCACCCTCAAAGTCGGGTGCTTTCATTTTTAGACACTAGATTCCGAGAAGAAAGAACGCTAGGCCAAAGGGTATGCTTATTTTGACTCGCCAGTAGTGATTGCCAGATTGCTTTCCAAAACACTGTAGTTTTTCCTATTCCATGAGCAACACACACAATGGCCCTTTCTCCTAAACCCTCACGGTCACTAGGATGTCTTTTTTTCTTATTTTAAAATAGAAATTTTAGATGAATTTCTCCTGGCTTAATAAGGTAAGCATATTTTCACATGTTTATCGGTCATTAGTATTCATTTCTTCAAAGCCATCTGATCTGTTAGCATAGGGATTTTTAAACTCACTTTCTAAAGAAACTTCAAACATTTTTGTATGTTGCTGGTGTCAGTTCTTAATTTGTCAAATCTATTTCCTCCTTAGACTATATTTAATTTTTATGTGTATAAATGGTTTGCCTGTATTTATATCTGTGCACCACTTGCTTGGTTAGTACCAAGCAGAGGCCAGAAGAGGGTGTCAGATCCCCTGGAACTGGAGTTACAGACAGTTGTGAGTTGCCATGTGGGTGCTGGGAGTTGGACCTGGGTCCTCTGGAAAAGTAGCCGATGCTCTTAACTGCTGAACCATCTTTTTAGTCCCTCAGTCTTTTCCTTTCATTGCGGAATTATTTTACAAAACAAGTAAATAAAATAAAGCACATACATAAAAACAGGGGGAAAGTACATATAATTCCATAAGTACAAAAATAACTGACTTTATTCCAAATGACTCTTCAATGTGCCCTTACAAAAACAGTATACAAAACAGATGCTACTACAAGACCTTATTTATTACACAAATATACACACTTCTGAACCGCAATTCATCTAAACAAAGTTACTTATACCATAATTTTTGTGGCTGTGATTGTATTAATATCAAATGAAACCACACCTAAATATTAAATGTGCAATTCATTTGCATTCCTCTTCAAGGGAAGGGTTCATTACATAGCCCAGGTTGGCCCACGACTGCCTGGAACTGGAATCTTCTGGCCTCCTCTGGCAAAAAACCCATATATGTAAATAAAAAGAAGGAAATTAAAATCACAAAGAAAATGTCCTGCCTCACAGACATACTCACAGGCCAATCTGATTGCGGCAATTGAGGTACCCTCTTCCTGTGTATGTCTAATTGACGCCTGAAGCTAATTGTGGCACATCCTTACTGAACAATGTGAGGGTATGACTGCTCCGAGGTGTGGCTGAAGAGAAGGTTTTGATTGTAGATTGAGGGAGAGAACAGCCAGAGGCATCTGGAAGAGTCCAGAGCAGGGAGAGAGAGTAGTTGACTAAACATGGCCAATAGACTGAACCAGGCTATGAAAGGAGTCTGCGGGGGAGGGGGAAAGAGAGGAAGAGAAGAGAGCAGAGAGGAGAGAGGGCCAAGAAAGGGGACCAAGAGCCAGGAGAACCAAGAGAGGGCATGGCTGAAATGGTAGGTTATACAGGAATGAGAAGCTGGAGAGAAGGAAGCCCACGAACTGGAGAAGCTTAAAATACAGGGAAGGCTGAGCTGAGCTGAGAGGAGGCAGGATGCCAAATGGACTCTGTCACAGGCACCTGAGATGCTGAGACACCCCAGGGGCTGGCACGTGCTTCAGCATGCTAACAGGCATCACAGTTACACCTGTCCCAGCTTCTTTCAGACCTGACACATACAATGCCATTCCCCCACCCCTCAAGGATACAAAGAAGCCAACTTTCTGAGTTTCAGAAATCTTAGAGGAACCTGTCATGTATGTTGTTAAGTGAACAGAGACCCAGGGTGAAAAGGCTGCCTGCCAAATAGATGGCATTCTGGAGAAGACAGGACCATGGGGCAGTAAAAACATCAGAGATGTCTGGGGGCAGGAAGCATCAATGGGAAAAGGACCTGGGATATTTAGGGCAGTAGAACTCCTGTAGGTTCTTTTTGATGGTGACACATTTCTTCACACATCTGTCAGAATCCAGATTGACGCCTAGAAGCTGCAGAACGATGCTTCCATATGGTTCGGGGACAGTAACAGCTGTAACACACTAATGTAAGATGTTCGCATTAAAAGATGAGGGTTACGAGTGGTGGCCGACTTAGGAGAACTGTTTGTTTTGCTGCTCTGTGTATGCTGCAGCTTGGGGCTTGCTCTTGTTGGTGCAAAACAACGGCCCTAAGTACAGGGCAAGCTGACAGTGCCCTGCAGTGAGCACCCACAGGACGGAGCTTCCAGACAGGGAATCCAGTGGTCAGCACTCAGGCCTTTCTATTTATATGGGGCTCTCTCAAAAACCTGTGCAGTCGTGAGTGGCTGAAGCCCTGGTCACCACCTCATAGCAGTGACTAAATATCAAAACACCCTCCAGTGACTTCCTGTCCACTTTTCTGCTTTCTCCCGTGGCTTCTTCCAAGGTAATTTGTGGTGTGTGACTTTGCCTGGTGCAACACAAACAAATGTCTTCTCATCCTGATGACAGGGCAAATAATTCAATAGCAGCCAACTTGGTAAACCAATGAGTTTATTGGGTTCGCTGAAGTATGATACTTACAGGGTCAGTTGTATCACCCAAGAGTCTACCTCACATAGGTAAGGAGTTACTTCTTGATGGGCATGCAGGCAGTTCTGCTCGTAGGAGGGTGGGGTGTCTCTTCTCCTCAGCAATTGTTGGCATTTGTGTAACCTTGGGGAGGGGCCTTGTGAACCTTATAAGTTCCAGGAGCTTCCTGGGATTTACTGAGCCTCTCTCCCAAGAGGATGCTTCCATCTGAGTAAGAAGCTGCAAAGCATGGCTTTAGGGACCACCTATAGGGGGCACAGAGGTCTTTGCATTCACAGACATGCACTAGGGAACCTGGGATGTTAGGCACACAGGGTTGTTTCTTCGAGGGAAGGAATGTAAAACCTGTTACCCACCCAGAAGGCTAGAGTGGAAGTGTTTTCTAGCCTGGTGACTTCTGTGCTGCCGGTGTGGCCAGGCCTTTCTCAGACTCTTACTGTAGATTCATTTTCTCAGTCACTCTATAGAACCCATCTTTATGGACTTCACAAAGTTTTGATGTAGTCACAGCTGATCTGAATTTAGCTGACTTTGTTCCTCAAGACTTGTGGAAGCTTTTGTTGTGCACAAGGGCTTGATTTAATCATCACTGGAATGATTTTCACCAAATTGTGCTGTGTGTAAACATGCCTAAAATAGACCACTTGGAGTCAGACTCCTAAAATTTGAACCAACATCAGCTACTGAGTGGTATTGAGCTGAACTGTCTCTGTCTTCTTCCCCCGCCAGGCTCGTCACATCCAAATCAGGACAGGGTCAGAGTCAAGAAAAATGCTGGAACTCCATAAAACCTCAAGACGTGCTGAATGCATGAGATTTCTACAGCCTGAACCTTGGAGATAGTCATGTTTCTTTTCATTTATGTAGTTTTCACGTTTGAATAACCAACATGGTCGTGGTTTTATTCCCTACACTTTTTCTCACAATTGTGTGTTTTGATACCCAATGGATTGAAAACAGGCTCACGGGCTGGCCTGAAACATTGCTCTTTTAGCTGCTTCTGTAGGAAAGTGAATTCCAAAAGGGAAAGAACAAACCTGGAATGTTCTGGAGCATGCAAACTGAGCATTGTCTGTGTGCTGAAAGCAGTTCACAGGGGTGTAGGAAGGAGTTGTCCCAGCAAGGCTGGTGCTCAGACCCACCAGTTTTAAGGTTTTTAGGGTTTTGTTGATTCCTTCTGTTTCTGTTGTTTGCTTGATAATAGGCATACTTGGGCGCTCCCTGTCAGTCTCTCTGCATCTACCGGCAGTTGGCGTCATTCCATTTTGCTTGGATAATTCAGTCCCATTGCCTCCCATGGAAATAGCTGCTCCTGGCAAAAGAAGTGATCATTTACTCAAAGCATTTGCACAGCTCTGCTCAGTTAGACAGCAAAAGCGGGCTGATCATTTCTGCATGACGACAAGTCAAATCAAGAAAACCTCTAAACCATGAAATGAAATTTAATTAAATATTGCAAAGACAAACATTTTTACCAGGAATAGATATTCCGAAAGAATGGCTGGAGGATGCAAAAACCACTGTTTTACTCTTAGAAAGTATTTGTGGAAACTTTATAAATGTAAATGATTTCCCAAATGGCATGTGTTGTCATTGTCAGGTCTTCACATCTGGTGGGTGGTGGCTCTGAGGTACTGTAAATGTGTCCTCTCAGGTGTTGTGGCTGAAAGTCCTACAAAATGGTAAGAGAGGAGCAGGCTGCCAGGGTGGGTGGGAGCAGCTTGCTGCAATCAAGCCCCACCTTGTGCACAGCTCATGTACACCAGAGTGATACTGTCTTCTGAAAAACATCTTGCTAACTCTGATGCTCCAAGAAGACAAATGCTGTCCCTTCTACCAAGGCTCTGCTGTCAACGTTTCCACACCTCTTCTCAGGTCCAATGCAGGTACAGGCTCTCCAGGCCCAGGAGACCACAGAGAGTATTTTGGGGACTCTAACCCCAGCAACAAGGAGGTGTTCAGAGATGCCTGTCCCTTAACACCAGGGGCACAGGAGAAGGACTAAGTCAGGTAGGCCAACCTGAAATGGAAAGGTTTTATTGTTTCAGGAGGCTGGAAGTTTAGGAAATATCTAACAAGGAAGGCAAAGGGTTTCAGACCCAGAGCAGTGAACCAGAAGGTGTTTCTCACATCCTGGGACTCCTGGACATTTTCTTTTAAACATTGTTATCATTCAGATACAAACCAGCACATAATCCAGTCATTTTGTGTGCCACTCAAATGCTTTTTAAGCTGTTGACAGGGCTGTGCAGCCAACACCAAACTTGAATCTTATAGAGACATTTTCACCTTTTTCTTCAAGAAAAACTCCACAGCCAATAGTAGTCAGTCTCCAAAACCTCCTATTGAGCCCTTTCCCCAAGCAGCCTCTAAAATACTTCCTGTTTGTATAAACAGGGATGCCTTGGACATCTTATAGACATAGCATCACACAGTATGCAGGCTGTGGCTGCTTAGGACAGAAGCTGGCAGGATAGCTCAATAGTTAAGACCCTTGGTGCTTTTCCAGGGGACCTGAGTTCAGATCCCACCACACAAGCCAGGCAGCTTACAACCACCTCTAACTCCAGCCTCTTCTAGCCTTCTAGGGTGTACAAACACACACACACACACACACACACACACACACACACACACACACACAGAGACAGAGAGACAGAGAGACAGAGAGACAGAAAGACAGAGACAGAGAGAGATAGAGAGGTGTTTAAGGTCCATTGTGTTTTAGCATGCTTTTGATATAGGGAAGAAAACATTAGCACAGATAGAACTGTTTCTAAATAGAAACCTGCTACTTTGGCTTCTGAAAAATTTGCTTAGCTTCTGAGACAATCTCCTTTGGATTGGGATGATAAGATCACCTTAGTATGGTCATGTAGACAAGATTATGACAGGGCCTGCCCCATACAGGCTATGGAACCTCCTTATGCAGGAGCTAGAAGATTCAGAAGTGTTCACCAGAGCCAAATGTGTCGTTGAGGAAGGGTGAACCCCTTAACGTTCATTGCTCATGGCTGAGAATGCTACACTGATAAGGATACCACATCCTGTTACCCACTTACCTGCTGATGAACAGGGCAGTGCTTTTCTACTTCTAACTCTTACAGAGCTGCTATACCCACCCTGGCACACTTTGTGTGGATATATCCTCAGTTCTTTGGAGCACTCAGAATCTCAAACCACAGCACAGAACTCAAAACTCCAGCTTTACACTCATCCTAGCTTCATTGCTGTGGCTGTGATAAAATGCCCTCCATCAATACAGGGGTGCCAAGGCAAGAACTTACCACATCATATTTACAGTGGAAAGCAGAGAGGGAATAAACACATGGTTCCTTTCTTGCTTTCTCTCAGCTAACCTTCTCTTGTATTGCTCAGGGACCCTACCTAGGGAATGGTGCCACCCACAACGGGCTAGGCCTTCCTTCCTCAACAAATAATCAAGCCAGTCCCTCCAAGACCAATCTGAGCTACAGAATTCATCACTAGACTCTTCCAAGGTGATCTTAGGTTGTGTGACATTGATAGTTAACACTGACCAGCACAGCATATAAGAGACTTATTTTCAGTATTTTTAAAGTCAGGTTTTCTCTGTGTAGCCCTGGCTGTCCTGGAACTGGCTCTCCAAACCAGGCTGGCCTTGGCCTCAGAAAACCACCTATGCCTGGCTCCCAAGTGCTGTGATTAAAGCATTGCCCACAATTCCCAAGAGAATTAAAACCACATATATACTGTTTTGCCTTCCTCAGGTCATCAGGCTTGGTGGCAAGCACCTTTACCCACTGAGATACTTCACTAGTCCCCTGTATATATTTTAACACTAGTTTGTTAAATTTTGGGAGGGGGGAACCTGCCTGGCACTCTGATAACAAGTGTGTTGAATCTTTTAACTGTGACTGTTATCAAGGGTATTTTAACTGTGGCTGTTATCAAGGATATTTTAATGGTAAAAAATGAGGTGATAGGATTCTATGTTATCTTTTCTTTTTTCTAGACAGTACTATTATTGGTTTTTCAAGATGGAGTTCCTCTGCGAAGCCCTGGCTGTTCTAGAACTCACTCTGTAGACCAGGCTGGCCTCAAGCTCACAGAGATCCTCCTGCTTTTGCCTCCTGAGTGCTGGGATTAAAGGCATGGGGCTACCACCGTCCAGCTTTTATTTTTTTTTGGTAGATTAGAATTTTTATATAGTAGATTATATCGTCTGCTTGTAAGGATAATTTACTTCCTCCTTTCCAGTCTGGGTACCTCCTTTCCCTAGAAGTCTCTCTCTCTGACTTCCTATTTCTCTGCCTCCCTGCTTTCTTCCTTCTCCTCTTCCTTTCCTCTTCTGTTCATTTGTTGCTCATTTCTCCAAGTGCCTCTGTCCATGCAGACGAGCACGGACGGTGGACATTCTTCTCCCCTCCGAAGCTCCTTCACGCCCAAGTGCTGAATCAGTGTTTCTGGTTTGGCAGGTCCCGCCACCCTTCTCAGCCCCAAATAAACACACAGATGTTATATTAGTTATAAAATTGTTGGCAGGTGGCTTGGGCTTCTGATTGGCTAGCTCTGTCTTAATTATTAACCCATTTCTATTAATCTATGCATTTCCATGTTGTCTTGGCTTACTGGAGAGGCTTACTGTCCTCTCCTTCCGGTGCTCTACATTTCCCAGAATTCTCCTCATATCCTAGCCCAGCCTATCTTCCTGCCTGGCCAATCAGTATTTTATTTATCAGCCAATAAGAGAAACATATATGCAGAAGGACATCTCCCATCACCCAAGCACATTGACGGCTGTGACTTGTGTAGACTCCTGTTGTGGGTTGGGGTCCCTACTCTTGGTTTGTTGGGCAGCTTTCTGAGAAGGACACTTAGCTCTTGTCTTTTGTCCTCTTGTTCACATGTGATGTGAGCCTTCCTAAGAACGCCATGCTCCTGTTTGCTCCTGCACCTTCTGGGAGTTGTAGGAAATCTTTCATAACAATATTTATCATGGGAGTGGGGCTCCTGGGGTGTAAGGGGTGGGGCCAGGGTATAAGTGGGGAGTGAGGGTGTAAGGCTGCAAGGCTGAAGGCATTGGAGGAAGAGATTTAAAAATGCTGAATCATATTTTAAGAATGTGTTTTTGGGACAGGAGAATGAAGAAGCAGGAGAACCTGATGGTGACCCCCCCACACACACACTAATGACAAAGGGAAGGGAAGGCACCCTCATTGCAATAAGGAACCAGAGGAGTCTTCAAATGAACATATGGAACTCACTTGAAGGACAAGGCCCCCTGCAGTCATCTGTTAGCAAACAAGGTCATCACTGAAAACGACTTCCAGCTCTGTGGTCACATCACTGGAGAGCCTGAGGCAGGAGGATAGCAAGTCCAGGATCAGCCTGGGCTACCCAGCAACGCCTTGTAACAAAACAAAAGGATCCCCAAATCACAATCAACATTTTATCAGCAATGGTAATAGTTACTCAAAACATACCAGTTCTTAATTAATATACTATCATTTACTCTTATATCTTAAGATCATTTATGTCCATCCTGTTTCTGTAGTGGGATTACTGCGTTGCTGTGGTACCATGTATCACTTTTCTGCTCAGAGTTCTCTCTGTGGTGTGCAGCTTTTGATAATGACTGTGCTGTGCCGTGAGCATTTATACTATGAAAACTGACAAATTAAAAATAATGTAATACTTGCCTTTGAGCAGCTAGCAGCTGAGCGTTCAGTAGCAATTCTCACATCGTCACACTTTGCCTAAGAAAGGCAGGTGAGTGGCCGGGAAAGCCACACGATTATCCTGGGCAGGGGTGCCAAAGACATATGGAAGTCTGGCTGTTTTACTCCTAAGAGGGATTAAGAGCAAAATCAATTCAATTCTGGAAGAGTTTACAGAAAGCAACAGCAGTGCCAAACATACCCACCACAGACGCTGAGAATTACGTACTCGGAGGCTGCCACTGTGAAAATGGGATTGGATGTTGACAGGAAAGCCCTCCCTTTCAGAGAATTGATTCTCCTGTGAAGAATGGCTCAACCCAAGGCCAGCGGCAACAATGACTGGCTTTCTTTAGAATGATGAATCCAGAAGGGAAGTGTCATTTCTGTTTATAATCAAGGTGGCCAAGTAGTCCTATGTGCAGACCCCTCCTAGTATTCACGGGCTGGAGAGATGGCTCAGTGGTTAAGAGCGCTGGCTGCTCTTCCAGGGGTCCTGAATTCAATTCCCAGCAACCATATGGTGGCTCACAACCATCTGTAATGAGATCTGGTGCCCTCTTCTGGCCTACAGGCAGACAGACAGCATACTGTCTGTATACACAATAAATAATTTTTTTAAAATAGTACTCACGGGCTGGAGAGATGGCTCACGTGCTTGCTTTCGGCCCATGAGGATTTGACCTTGAGCCACTAGAACAGACGTGAAATGTCAGGTGTGTAGCATGTGGTGACACTTGCAATCCCAGTGCTGGGGTGAAGACAGGGAGCTTCCTGGGGCTCCCTGCCAGCCAGCATAGCCTACTAGAGGAGCTCCAGGTCAATGAGAGACCCTGTCTCAAAATAAGGTAGATGGCACTCCTAGGGAAATGACATTTGAGATCGTCCTCTGGCCTGCACGTGCACCTACACACAGGTGTGCATCCCCATACATATAAACACACACGTTTTAAAAACAATTACTCAGAGGCTAAGGCAAGAGGGAGGATTTAAAGACAAAAATAAGGACACACAGGTACTTTGGAGATCAATTTGTGTATAGTATGTGTCTGCCAGGTATGTATATGGAGGCCAGAAGAGGACCTTCTGTCTCTGGGAGCTAGGCAGTTGTGACCTGCCTGAGGTGAGTGCTGGAACCCGATTTGGGTTCACAGCAAAAGCAGGCCCACTCTTAACCGTTGAGCCATCTCTCCAGCCGTCTCCAGGACTGGAAGCTTCTTGTGTGATGAGGTTGTTCTGCCGGAAGTCTGGAATCCAAATCACCACCACGAGACCGATTCCGAGGCAAAAACAAAGTCTTTATTTTCCAGTTAACCCCTGTCCCTCCCTCTATCTCTAGTGGCAGCAGCGATGACAGCGGCAGGGGCTGGGGCAGAGCAGGAGAGGTCCCGAGCATCCAGGGGAGGGGGCATTTATAGAGAGGAAGGCTTGGGGAATTCCAAGCCTGCAGGCTTGGGATTGGTCAATTTTTCCAGCTCAGGGATTGGCTGGTTTTGTTTCAGGGGCAGAGATGAGGGCCAAACTGTGTTTCTTTCAATGGTTCTTTTTGTTTTTTAGGCTCCAATTTTTAGGGCCTGGGTGAGTTTCTTTTATAGGTTCCGATTCTAGAGGCAAAGTATATTCTTTTGGTCCTAGTTTCAGAGTTAGGGAGTTTTTCCCTGGCTCTAAGTTCAGGGATAAAGTGTCTCTTTCGCTGACTCAGGTCTCAAATCCGGGGTTGGGGCTCAGAGCCGAGCCCTTCGTGGACTATGTAGGGGCTTCGAATCAGGGATTTGCTGGGGCCTGGGTCTCTTAAGGTGGCCTCTACAGTGGAGGTTCTGGGGAAGTCTTCTGTGATGGCTTCTCTCAAGTGTCATGTGTCAGTGCCTTCCTCCTCAGTCATGGCTCTGTTTACTTTGCTGTTGGTAGAGTTGACACACACGACTTCATGTTGATTCTCACAGCTTTCGAAGCACTCAGGATGATTTACAAAAACAAACATTAAAAAATGAGCGTATGCTACCATTGTGCCCACATTGGCCATCACAGGTGACTGGAATTCACACAACTGGACACACACTGCATGCCAGTAAGTATGCTGTCAAAGGAAGTAGACAGGAATCTGTTGTCAGTCTGAGATGGAGAGGTTCGCTGTTGCTGTGATCCACAATGACGTAAAATCTGCATTTCCTTGGAGGGGACTTTGTCATCCAGGAGAAAATGGTAGACCTTATTTCCCCTTCCCAGGGAGATTCATGCCTCCCCTCTTGAGCCCTCCTTGTTACTTGGCCTTTCTGGTCTGTGGATTGCAGCATGATTATTATTAACTAACAGTTAATATCCACATGTTTGTCTTTCTGGGTCTGGCTTACCTCACTCAGGATGACTTTTTTCTAGTTCCAACCATTCGCTTACAAATTTCATGATGTCATTTTTTTTAAACAGCTGAGTAATACTTCATTGTGTAAATGTACCAGATTTTCTTTATCTGTTCTTCTGTTGGGGGACATCTAGGTTGTTTCCAGTTTCAGGCTATTATGAATGAAGCTGCCATGAACATAGTTGAGCAAGAGTCCTTGTGGTAGGATGGAATGTCCTAGCTGAACTTAGAGCCAGGGAAAACTCCCTAACTCTGAAATGTCCAGGAATGAGATAGCTGGGTCTTGAGGTAAATCAGTTCCCAACTTTCCGAGGAATTGTGCATTGATTTCTATAGCGGCTTTGCAAGTTGGAACTCCCACCAGCAATGGAGGAGTGTTCTTCTTGTTCCGCATCCTCTCCAGCACGAGCTGTCTCTTGTGTTTTTGATCTTAGCCATTCTGACAGGTGTAAGATGGACTCTCAGAGTAGAATAGATTTTGTAGGAGTACTGGGGATGAGTGGGGGTGGGAATAGGAAGGCTTTCGGGAGGGTACTGGGAGAGATGACTGGAATTGGGGGGGCAGCATTTCGGGGATGATGTAGAAATCTAGTGCAGTGAAAACTCCCTGGAATCTATGAGGGTGATCCTAGCAAAGGCTCCTAGTAATGGGGATACAGAGCCTGAACCTTCCATCTTCTGTAACCAGGCAAGACTTCTAGTGGTGGTACTGGGCCATCAACCCATAATTTGTCTTGGCTGCAAGTTGTGCTGGAGTAATGGTAGCACAGAACTTGTCGGGGTGGCCAACCGATGGCTGGTCCGACTTGAGGCCCCGCCCACAAGAGGGAGTCCACACATGACACTGCCTGATGGCTGGAAGTTGGCTATCCCAGAGATCTAGTATAGAACCAAACATGACTGGGAAAAAAAAGATTAATGAAATGATTCCTAATGCTACTCTGCTATACTCACAGATTAGAACCTAACCCAATTGTCATCAGAGAGGACCCACCCAGCAACTGATGGGACCAGATGCAGAGACCACAAACATTAGGCAGAGCTTGGGGAATCCTGAACAGGGGGAGGAAAGATTGTAAGAGCCAGAGAGGTCAAGGATACTACAAGAACACATCCCACAGAATCAATTAAACAGGGCTCATGGGTGCTCACAGAGACTGAAGTGACAATCAAGAAGCCTGTATGTGTCTGAGGTAAGTCCTCCGCATATATATTATGGTGTGTAGTCGGTGTTTTTGTGGGACTCCTAACAGTGGGAGTGGGGATGTCTCTGACTCTTTTGACTGCTCTTGGGACCCGTTTCTTCCTGTTGGGTTGCTTCATCCAGCGTTGATATGAGGGTTTGTGCCTAGTCTTACTGTAATTTGTCACGATGTAGTCAGTTGATATCCCTGGGAGGCCTGCTCTTTGTTGAAGGGGATGGAAGAGGAGTAAATCTGAGGGTGGCGGGGAATGGTGGAGTGGAGGGAGGGGAAGCTGTGGTCAGGGTGTAATGCATGAGAACACACACACACACACACACACACACACACAC